TAGGAGAATGAAAAGATGATGATGCCTTCAATAGACACAGTGAAATTTGGAAGAATGGAGGGTTTGAGGGAAAGGATTACAGGTTTAGTTTTGATGTTGAGTTTGAGATGTCGCTAAGAGATCCCATTAGCAATTGATACAGAACTGAAACTCAGGAAAGACTGGTGCCAGATAAATAGACATGTGAGTCATCTGCATATAGTCAAACCCATGAGATGATAGATTGTCAAGAAAGAGTGAATATAAGGAGAATCAAAGAAGGCCTAAGACAGAAATTTGAGGTATATTCACAGTTAGAGGATTTGATGTGGCTAATCAATCAGCCAAGGATCAAAGGAGAACAAATGATCAGAAAAGTAAAAAAAGAGAACCAGGAAGAAGTAATATAATGAAGACCCAGAGAAGTTAAAATATTTGGAAAGAGATGGTGGTCAACACTGTTAAAAGCAGTGGATGGGTCAAAAAGTTTAAGGACTAAGAAAAGACCATCATAGTTGACAATTAAGAGATTATTGGTCTTCTGTGCTGTAAAATTGCATATAAAGAACCCTTCACAAAAATATTCTAGCCTGTGATCATATCATTTGGGAACTAGGAGCAAAAATAAGTCAGTGATTGACCTAAAAGATAAGTCAGTCTTATCATTTGCACAATGCTATTTGGATTACTTTGAGTAAATGACTTCTCTTTTTTTCTTTGTGTGGACAATTCTATGATCTCTTCTGTCTTAGGAACTCCTGATATAGGAACTCCCTCCACCAACAGATCACCAACTACTGTGTGACTTATAGTTTTATAGGTTATCTAGTATATACCAAAACAGGAATTGAATTCAGATCTTTTGGACTCAAAGGCTGCCACCATACCACATTGCACAGATGGTGGAGCAGAGTAAATGAAACAAACTCTTACATAGAATTTCCATTTAAGATCTGGGGATACAGTAAGCTACAGATGTGAAGACTGTTAGTCAATATATAAAACTTGAATATGTACCTAATATATACCAAACCTGTATTAAGCATTGGGTATACAAAATGGGGCAAAAGACAATCCCTGCCCTTGAGAAGCTCACAATCTAATATTAGCCGTTAACATACTTATAATTTGAAATATGCTAAGTAGGATCCAAGGCAGGGGTTTTTAACCTCTTTTTGTATCAGTGATCCCCCTCCCCCGGCAGTCTGGTGAAACCTATGGACCCATTCTCAGAATAACATTTTAAAATACACAAAAGAAATTACAAAAGAAAACAGTACAAAATACAAAAGGAAACCAATTGTACTGAAGTAAAGAAACACTTTTTCCCTTATTCAAGTTTATAGATTCCCTGAACTGTATGCACTGACTGGGCTTCATGGACCCTAAGTTAAGAATTCCTGATTTATATATACCTCATGGCACCATGGTGCAAAACTGGCCTCATTGCCAAGATGATTGGGTTCAAGTCCCATCACCACACCTACTGACAATATGACTCTGGGCAAGTTATTCAACCTCTGCCAGTGCTCTAGGCAACTCTGTAAGACCATAAGCTACAGAGAAGTTGCTGCTTGTATTGGTTGAGAGTTTCCTCACCTGCAGGTTCTTTATTTCAATGAAATCACAGGTCTAGTTCCTATCCCTAAGTGGAATTAATTTCATTTGTTTATTTTCCACAAAATGGCTAAATGTATCCATTTGTCCTTCACACTAGACATTTTTAGGGAGGATGTAATCTTGCATTGTCATTTTGCTATTAGTGAGCTGACCAAACAGCCAATGGAACTTTGCCAACTTTAACAATTTTATGTCTCTGGGCATCAGAAGAGCCCACAAAAAAACCAAAAGCCCAGAACAAAAGCTCCAAAACCTCTTTTCCTGAAAGTAAGCCTAATAAAGCAAAACTGAACATATCAATCATTAACTATAATTTTAAAGCTAATAATTCAACATAATCAAGTGTTTCAAATATTTATCCGTGCAGTCACTTATGCTTTGGCTTACAAGCTAGTTTTATTTCTCAGGAATGACTGAACATAACCCATTTGGGGCTTTGCCATCTGTCAGTTACTTACATCTGAACTCTCAAGTTAAAGAAACGGAAATTTTAATTTTCCCCCTTTTCCAATATGAGCTTTGAATTGCGCTACAATTTAATGTGGCTTTTTTAAACACCTATTTTTCCTATTAGGTACTGCAAGACCACATCATCATAAACTCCACAGATTTGTCATCATCAAACAACTTATAGGATGTGACTGCTGTGTAATACCTACTCTTGATCAAGTACCAAAAATAATTATAGAATTTTAGAGTTAGAAAGAAAATAGAAGCTGGAACCACTTAGTCCAACCTCCTTCCCAATGCTGTGATTTAACCTCCATCATCCTTGACAGTGAGTGGATTGTCCAGTTTGCAGCATAACAGTCTTCCTTCACATTCTCCTTGCACTCCCCTCTCCACCAACCGTCTAGGTTAGCAACCAATCATTAAAAAATTTATACGTGTTATATACTATTTGGAATTCAAATCATTTCACTAGCTTTAAACACAACCCATGAATCCTTTCCCAATTTCTTGTTAGACCCTATAGCCCACCTCATTCCCAATCTTGAAAACTACATTCCCTGTTTAGACTTTGCACACAGCACTTTGCAATTCTCTAAAGTACTTATTATGTAATATGTATTATATTTATTGGTGATTGTGTCTTATCTCTTAAATAGACTGTAAGTTTCATGAATTCAGGGACTGTGTTTTATCAAAGGTACTCCCTACCACCTATAATCTAATATCATGCTTATTCAGTAGGTACTTAATCAATGTTTATTGGCTGAAAGAATGAAAACATAAATCTTACATTGTCCAAATGATGGGTAAATGAAGCTATGTGGGGATCTCTAGGGAAAAGGCTATGTCAAATGGACTACAAGTATTCTCCTTCTCTCCCTTGCAGGCCGACAAATGCATTTTATTTGCTTGCTTACTCTCCCACCCCCAACACCTTCCTTTTGACACAAAGTAGAGGGGGGCCTTTTTCTTCTCATGGTATATGACTCTGTGTTTCCTTTAGGAATCTGGGCATTTGTTAGGAGGCCTATAATTTGTGCTCTTTTCCTAGGGAACAGGAAGCAAAGAACACAGAACCCCAAGTAAGACCTTCTGGGGTTATGTGTCATCAAAAGGAATTCAAGCCTGCTGCTTTAGGGAGATAGTCCACCCCTGTCTCACTAACTACCTCACAGGGCTGTAGAGAAGAAAGTACTGTGTGGATCTTAAATGTGGAGATCAGAGTTACTGTTATCATCACTGAATACTGTATCTTCCCTTCAACACCCAGTTCAGGCCCTTTGGTTGACAGATGAAGAAAAAGGAGACCATCTACAGTGAGGTGAATTATGTATCTACAATTAGGTAACAACTGCAAAACCAGGACTAAAACTCAGGCCTCTATGCTTGAAGACCAATGGGCTTTGTATAGCCATACTTAATTCTATGAAGGAAAGAGTCAACAGAGATAGAGTATGAAACTTCTCTACCACCCTTCCATCCTACTCTTTTAACAATTGATACACAGCAGTGTGTAGTGACTTGCCTAATTATTTGTGGTTGGTTCAGCCTTAGAAACCTATATTATTGAGGCTATTATATTGTGACGTTTTCATTCAAAATATACACAGAGTCACCCTCTTCCCCTGTCTTTAATGCCATTAATGCCATGCTCTGGTCAATTTGATTAAATATCAAAGATCAAAACTCCTTTCTATAAGAAATATCATATAAATATAACATAAAAATAACAACATAATATAATGTAAAATAAATTTAAGAATGGCAGAACAAGTTGTGGTATATGATTGTGATGGAATACTACTGTGCTATAATAAATGATGAGATTGCTGATTTTAGAAAAACATGGATGGATTTGCATGAAATAATGAAGAGTGAAATGAGCAGAATCAAGAGAATGTTGTATATAGTAATAGCAATATTGTTTTAAGAAGAACTTTGAGGAAATAAGTCATTTTGACTATTATAAATACCCAAATTAACTGCAAAGGGCATATGAAGGAAGATGCTATCTGATAAACAGAAGTATGCATGAAACGATTTTACAGATATATAGATATTTGTGTCTAATGGTAACCATCTCTAGGGTAGGGGGGAAGGGAAAAAAGGAAAATAAAAGAAATTTACATGATAATTTCATTATGTATTTAAAATGAATAGCAAGTTGTACATAAAAGATCTGCATTTTGTGTGTAATTGTCCTTTTTATTATTCTATGTTATGGAAATGCTTGTTTTATTCCATAAATTAAAAATAATATAAATAAAAACTTCCAAAAAAAGTTCCTCTAAGACCAGGGGAAAAGTGACCAGAATGGAAAATTGAGAATGAGTGGATTTCCTAAAGTATATATTCTTATCTGTCACTTTCTCACTTTCTTTTAGGTTAAACACACTAAAATCTTTCACCCAAGTAATAAATGATCACTTTTCTATCTTAGAGAAGGCATTCTTTTAAAGAGTTCTGCTAGATAGTAACCCTAGAAACTATAAAATTATTGCTTCTGGTCAACTTTAATGGCTTGTAAATATGTCCATCTATTACTAACACCGCAAACATTTAATTTCCAACAGACTAAATATCCATGGCATATCCAAAAGTATTATGAAAATGGCATAAATGGTCATATAATATTCAGACCAATTTTTGTGAAAAAGATACAAAAGGGAAAATACAATTTTCTCTGTTATTTTATAAGATGCATTTGAAGGGAACATGGAATATGTTTCATATACACATATATTTTTAAGTATATCTTTCCTAGGGAGTTAGGAGCAAGGAAGACTTTGTATGTATGTAATGTATACCTGTGTGTGTATGATATACACACATATATAGAAATGTGTGTGTGTGTGTGTGTGTGTGTGTCCACACACACATGCTTATTACCAAATAAGCTAACTGGTCTGTAACATTTCTATAAAAAATGGAAACTGCAGGACACTTACTGGTACAACAGGTTTCAGATTCTGGTCACTGGGGTGTGAAGCACCTGGATGAGAATCAGCAGGTGGGCTTAGTGCTGGGTCACTGCTCCTCCTCACTAACAGTGGTGTGCCTGCAAGACAAAATAAGAGGTGAAAGGTCAAAAGAACCTCAGGGAAAAAGCACATGGCACAGTGCAATTTAATTAAAAGGACTCACGACATTCTTCTGTGTAAAACTATTCAAGTTCTAGAGGTGCTTGTAAATTATTCAATTTGATGACATCGTGTCATTTATTATATGGTGACGCATGGGACCAGAATGGTAGAATGTTTATCTTTTCCAATCTATATTATCACATTGCCTAAAGCAGGACTCAAGACAAAATTGTTGGATGCTTTAGGGAGCATCCAAAAACTGACACCACACCATGTAAAGCAGATTTATGAAATAAATATAAATATTAAAGAGGATGATTATGAAGTAGTCACTTGAACCATTCGACAATGTCAGTATAATCTGCAATTTAGGTAGAGATGGAAACAAAGAAAGACGTTATTGCAAGTTACCATTATATTTTACTTTCAGAACCCACAGGATATATATATTAGACATATGGAAATATGATTTGGCTGGGTTAAGGGTGTCATTGTCTTTTTAAATAAGCAAAGGGGATTGTTTTAATTTTTGCTTGTCTTTGTAATAAAGCTTGACAAAGCTGATGAGAAAAATAAGGTAGTTCTTTAAAAATACTCTGATTCATTTTTAATTTAATGAAAGATTCTACCATTAAATATTTGAAAGTCACTTATTAAATTCTGAAAGATGATCTTTCTAATAGGAAGTCCAAATGAAATCCAAACATAGCAGGGCTAGTAGCTTTGCTAGTTTCATTATAATTAGGCTGAAAATAATTTATTTAAAATGAAATTGGCAGTCAGAAAAGGAAGTCTTTGAATTTTTTTTCTTAGGGTTGTTTTGGAAATCATTCCATAATCACGAAAATGAACTTTTATTTGCTCTTTTAAGAATTCGCTTTGTGAATAATGGTTAAATTGCACTTTCCAATTTTTCTATGTTCTAAAAATAATGCCCAAACAATCTCAAGCTACTGCAGTTTAAATTAGTATTTTTCATGTTCCTTTTTTCTTTTTTTTTTTAAAACATGGTACACAGCTGGCTTAGGGAAGGAATCCCTTTTGTTAGTATTTACAACTCCCTGCTTCCAACAAATTCTATTCCTTTTGGCAATCCACCCCTGGATACCACACAATCTGGTTAAAAAAGAAAATAAAGTGTATCTCTTCCTATAGTCAGAAATTGGCTGAAATAGTACTCTGGCTATAGTGGCTAGCCCCACAGAGCAACGTGAAGTCCAAACTCATATTATTCCCAATGCCATTTCTATTCCTAGACGCATCATTACATGATTCTCCCCATCTACCAAAAGCCCCAAGCAAATCTAACAAATGGCAGTGGTTGTGCTGGTCTCCTTTTGTTCCTTCACTGAAACATCCTCAAGGAGCAGAAAAAAAATTGTACCATAAGTGGTGCTCAGTACAGAACTAATGTGAGTCACAGACTATGGTCGAGAGCAGCACAAACACAACCAATGACAATTGGGTCCCAGTCCCAAGCCATATGTTTTAGTCAGGTGATCTGAAAAAAATAAAAGGGTATCCACCTCTAAAGAAAAGCCCCTAAGTTATCCCAGACACCAAGGGGGTAATTTATTAAGGTGGAGCACAGTATCATACAAGGTAACTTGTTCTCCTTATGACTAAGGAAAGGGAAGGGTAGCTTCACATTTGCTTTCAACTCTCGTCTCCAAGCATTTTATTCCCAGGCAAAGGCAATGCTCTATCATTGAGGGGAAAAAAAAACACAACCCCACCCAAAATAATCTCCTTTTATCCATGAAATGTTGCTTCAAAGATGCAAATCATCCCACTTCAGTTACTGATAATGTTCATTATCACATTGTTATTGTGCTGACACCTTATAAACATTAAAAGAAAATCTGAGGGATACGTGCTCACAGATGATGAGGAAAGTATTGTGGCCAGTTAATGAATATGATGATTTTTTTTTTAATCCCAAGACACACAGAAAAACATAATTTTCTTCACTTATAAGAGTCAACAACCACTTGGCTGCTGATAACTCTGGCAAAGAGTATGTGGTGGTTTGGATATTACTTTTCAAGCTATTTAAAATGCATAAGAACATAATGACATGTATTTTAGTCTGATTCTTCTCCAAGAGGGTTATGATTTTATCATTGTGGGGCTCCTTCCATAAAAAGCATGCTATAACCTCTTTCCTCCACCCTACACATCACACCTCCTCACCTCCAGATGACTTCACAGGTTGCTGTGGCCTTGCCAATTTCATCTACTGATGACCAGCCTTCTCGGAATTTGCTTCTCAGGCATGGACTAGGCTGGTGGTTGAATGATAGGCGTGCAACCCATTGTCTGCTGGGATTTAGAATCTTGGCAATTTGGTAGTCTCTGCTAGAACTTGCATTTTGCTGGCATAATGTTTGAACTCAGGGGTAACTCACCAACACCATCATGCCAGAGGGAGACATGGTAGAGTTCACTCAAGGTTGATTATCAACTCTAGTATAGATAATTATGATCAATATTTTTTATTTTTTAAATTAATTTATTTTGAATTATCAACAATCACTTCCATAGGCTTTTGAGTTTTAAATTTTTCTCCCCCTCTCTCTCCACCTCCCTCCCCAAGACAGCATGCAATCTGATATAGGCTACACATATACATTCCTATTAAACATATTTTCACATTGGTGATGTTATAAGTAAGAATTAGAACCAATAGGAAGAACCAACAGAAAGAGGAAACAAAACACAACAGAAGAGAAAAAAATAGCAAATAGCATGCTTCAATTTGCATTCAAACTCCAGAGTTCTTTCTTCGTATGTGGATAGCATTTTCCATCATGAGGCCTTTGGAGATGTCTTAGATCCTTGTATTGCTGAGAAGGGTTCAGTCTATCAATATTAGTCATTGCAAAATGTGGCTGTTATTATATACAACATTCTCCTGGTTCTGCTCACTTCAGTCAGCATCAGACCATACAAGTCTTTCCAGGTTTTTCTGAAGTCAGCCTGTTCATCCTTTCTTATAGCACAATAGTATTTCATTACATTCATATACCACAACTTATTCAGCCATTCCCCAATTGATGGGCATCCCCTCAATTTCCAATTCTTTGCCATCACAAAAAGAGCTACATATAAATATATGTATTTATAAATACATATTATAAATATAATTTAAATATTTTTTATAAATATTTTTGTACATGTGAGTCCTTTTCCTATTTGTATGATCTCTCTGGGATATAGCCCTAGAAGTGCTATTGCTGGGTCAAAGGGTATGCACATTTTTATAGCACTTTGGGCACAGTTCCAAATTGCTCTCCAAAACGGTTGGATCATTTCACAACTCCACCAACAATGCCTTAGTGTTCCAATTTTCCCACATCTTCTCCAACAGTTATCATTTTCCTGTTTTGTCATGTTGGCCAATCTGATAGGTATGATGTGGTACCTCAGAATTGTTTTGATTTGCATTTCTCTAGTCAATAGTGATTTAGAACATTTCTTCATATGACTATAGATGGCTTTAATTTCTTCATCTGAGAACTGTCTGTTCATATCCTTTCACCATTTATATGATTGATATTTTTGATCATCACCCATGTCCTGCCAGCTGACCAGGAACATAGTCCTACGCTCTGTCCTGAGTTCTATTCTCTTCTCTCTATATGTTCCCTATGGTAATTTCATCAACTACCATTACTTCAATTAATATCTCTATGCATATATTTATAAAATCAATATATATTGAGAGATGTTATCTCTCTTCTCCTGAACTCCAGTCCTATATTTCCAATTAACTAATAGATATTTCCACTTGTAAGATCCAAGGGCAACTTAAATTTGACATATCCAAAACAGAATTCATTCTCTTTCCCCTTAAACCCATTTCTCTTCCTAACTTCCCTATCTCTGTCATTGTGGTAGGATTTTTGCTTTCCTTACAAATACATTAAATTTCCAAGACCTAAGGAATCTTCCTCCACATCATATCTTATATCTGTCATCCTGCAGGAAAAAAAAATCCTACCACAATGACTTTGGTACAGGTCCTCATTGCCTCCTGCCTGTACTATTGCAATAGCTCCCTAATTGGTCTCCATCTTCTTTCCTCTTAAATATATCCTCCATTTAGCTGCAGACAGATGTGACATTCCTAAACCACAAATCTGACCTTGTCACTCTTCTGCTCAGAAAACCTGTGTCTCCCTCCTGACTCTAGGATAAAACAGACATAATTCTTGTTCACCCTTCATGGTCTGACTCCAACCTACCTTTTCAGACTTATCACACATTACTCCCTTCGTCCCGTCAAACTGGCTCACTTGCTATTTCTCACACACGACATGCCATTTCCTATCCTAGAAGGTCTCTGTGTGCTTTCTTTTTTATCTCTGCCTCTTAGAGTCCCTAGTTTCTGGGAAAGCTCAGTTCAAGTACCACTCCTCAATGAAGTCTTTCCAAATGCCCTAGCTGGTAGGGTCTTTCTGCCTGAAAAAAATTACCTTCCATTAAACCTGGTGTATTTTTTTTTGTTTGTTTGTTTAGTCGTTCTAGTCATGTCCAACTCTTCGTGACTCCAATTTGGGTTTTTTTTGGCAGAGGAACTGGAGTGGTTTGGCATTTCCTTTGCCAGCTTATTTTGCAGATGAGGAAACTGAGGCAAACAGGGTTAAGTGACGTGCCCAAGGTCCCACATCTAGTAAGTATCTGAGGCTAGTTTCGAACTCACAAAGAGAAGTCTTCCTGACTCCAGGCCTGCAGCACTATGACACCACCTAGCTGCCCAAATTTTGTATATATTTTTTCTATTTACTTATGTTTGTACATGTTGTTTCCCTCAATAGAATAAATGACAACTTGAGAAGAAAGCTTCTCAAGGGCAAGGATGGTTTTGTTTTTCCTTTGTATCCCTAGGGCCTGGAATAGTGTGGCACATGGTTGGTTCCTTTTAAATGCTTGTTCAATGACTGAACAATGATGCCTTAGTGTTGCCTGGAAG